TGTTTTTTATTATTCATTACAGTTTCAGTTTTTTTTTTACTATGTATCAAATGCTACACTAAGAGGAGAGAACACTTTCCGTGGATGACATGACTATTGCCAAGAGTTGTACTCCTCATCTGCCCTGTACTCTCCAACAGACGTCGAATGATATTGGCATCTGGGTAGAGAAACATAAAATGCAACTCAACTCAAAGAAATGCACGGTTTTACATGTCAACCGCATGAAACATACCAGCTTGGCCATCACTTTCTATAGATCAGGACACTTTGAAAATCTGTGACTGTGTTTAAGTTTTAGGGGTTACCATCCAGAGTGATTTGAAATGGGATGTTCAAGTGGATCACATGTTGTCCTCAGCCAACAGAAAGCTTTGGTGTTCAATTGGTTATCATCTGTTATCATGTGTGCCCTGTATACACAGTTACTGTTTGGCACAGTTTGTTGACTACTGATTAAGTTAAAACGCTGGAAAGTAGAAACAGGAACAGGCCTGTAAAATTATACTGGGTCAAAGGTATTAAGATTAAACAATAATACACTGTGTGTGAGAGGAGAGGAGAAGAACAATTCATTTTCTTAAGGCTTTGTGCATGGAAGTCATGAATAAAACTCAAAATACAACAATGGGTCTGTATCTCAATGTAAACACACATCATTTAAATAAACTGTATGAACATCATATGAACATCTCACCTTTTAAGACTTTAGGAGGAAAAACAAAACATACTTTACAATATCCAGAGTGTGACCGGAGCTCAATATTTAAAACTCTACAGCAATAAACATGCAAAAACCATTATAGTCTGTCTGCCAGACCATATAAAAATCCCTGGCTGGCATCTTAAAGCTGAAAGAATGGAAAGTTTAACCCAAGGCCATATTTGTGCTATGAGTCTATTTTCTCTCTCCTTGCCAAAGGCATGCATGGGGACGGGAAGCAAAAGTGAGAAAGGTGGAATTCATTTCTGACACAGGCAGAGTTATTTGTGCTTGGTAATTCTTGTTTTTTATTATTCATTACAGTTTCAGGTTTTTTTTTACTATGTATCAAATGCTACACTAAGAGGAGAGAACACTTTCCGTGGATGACATGACTATTGCCAAGAGTTGTACTCCTCATCTGCCCTGTACTCTCCAACAGACGTCGAATGATATTGGCATCTGGGTAGAGAAACATAAAATGCAACTCAACTCAAAGAAATGCACGGTTTTACATGTCAACCGCATGAAACATACCAGCTTGGCCATCACTTTCTATAGATCAGGACACTTTGAAAATCTGTGACTGTGTTTAAGTTTTAGGGGTTACCATCCAGAGTGATTTGAAATGGGATGTTCAAGTGGATCACATGTTGTCCTCAGCCAACAGAAAGCTTTGGTGTTCAATTGGTTATCATCTGTTATCATGTGTGCCCTGTATACACAGTTACTGTTTGGCACAGTTTGTTGACTACTGATTAAGTTAAAACGCTGGAAAGTAGAAACAGGAACAGGCCTGTAAAATTATACTGGGTCAAAGGTATTAAGATTAAACAATAATACACTGTGTGTGAGAGGAGAGGAGAAGAACAATTAGTTTTCTTAAGGCTTTGTGCATGGAAGTCATGAATAAAACTCAAAATACAACAATGGATCTGTATCTCAATGTAAACACACATCATTTAAATAAACTGTATGAACATCATATGAACATCTCACCTTTTAAGACTTTAGGAGGAAAAACAAAACATACTTTACAATATCCAGAGTGTGACCGGAGCTCAATATTTAAAACTCTACAGCAATAAACATGCAAAAACCATTATAGTCTGTCTGCCAGACCATATAAAAATCCCTGGCTGGCATCTTAAAGCTGAAGAAAGGGTGAATAAATCATGAAGCTAAGAGTACAGCACCAAAAACTAGGCCAAAATACTGTAAGAAGCCTTGCATGTGCCATGGGCTATATGGCATTATAAACAACATACTGTAAGTAGATCACTATTAAAATGCATCTTAAAGTCAGCATGCAATGGACCCTTTTCACATTTCTGTGGTTCTCAGAAGCGGAAGTCATCATAGTTGGGTAAACAAATATGGCGGTGAACAGAAACTACTGTACAACAAATGAAAATTTTAAATGAATTTTTTTTTTTGATGACTTTCCAAAAGACGGATATTGAGAGACTGATTATGTTGGTCAGAAGAGAGAAAGATATGAAATTTGCCATCACTCCCTCAGCTTTTAATGACATTGTTTTTTGTATAAGTCTAATCTGTAAAACCTAAAATGTTTCTACTGTATTTATTATGGTAAAGTTCTGGCAACCACAGCTGCCATTATTAAGGTAGATTTCACTTATCTTTTTTTTAACAGTGTACATTAAATAAAAACATTAAAAACCACTGTGTAAATACATCACAGTCTGTAAAATTGGTCCATATAAAAAAAAGATATTTACTTTCTCAATGCACATTCCTGGTCTTATTGTGCACAATGCATCAGTGCACATTATTTGAAATAAAAAAAATTCTTGTCTTTGTCATCTTTAATCAGAAGGTAATATCCTGTTCTGTCTCCGCAAATATATTCCTTTTCGCCTGTTATCAAGAATTTTTACTTTTAAAACCCCTTCCCTCCGACTGCTTGGCTCCAAATAGTATATTTTTCACATGCCAAGCAAGTCCCAAAAGATACACGTTTCTCCTCATAGAAATGAGAAGTCATATTTCATTTAGAAATACATCAGGATGCTGAAATAAAACAGGTTGTGATTGACAGTCAAAGCATAAAAACACACACACTGCAATAGGAACTGGTAGAAACTGAGAAAATTAGTCTTTGGTCAACCATCAAAAAATATCCAACACTCTTAAAAATTAAGATTCCAAAACTGTTTTGTTTTTTTTAGCAGCAATGCCATTTGGAGTTCTTTTCAGTGAACAATTCTTAAAAGAACCATTTTTCTTAGTGTGAAGAACATTTTAATGATCTAAAGAACCTCTTTCTTCTATAAAGAACCTTTTGTGCATTTAAAAGGTTCCATGGATGTTAAAGGTTCTTCATGGAAGCATCGATGCAATAAAGAGCCTTTTTCTTTCTGCGAGTGAACCTTCTAAGATTGTTCTCAACTTTAAGCCAGCATGCAATGACAATACAACATGACATGAAGCAGCAGCAAAATCACTCATAAAAGCATACTGCACATACTTTTCAAGGATGTAACCCGTGCTTTGCCCCGTGACTAACAGAGGAGGCACAGCAGACATGATACGGTTACGAAGAACAAGCCATGAAATGTGCTGTGTTATCAAAGACCACATGTCCTTTTCTGAAAAGATGAAAGTCTGCCCTTAGAAAATGTTGCGATTCTGGGTAAATGCCATAGATTGCACACAGACAAGCGACGCAATCCTAAGGACGCCACAAAACCTGCTGGATACCACTACCATAAAAAAGTTTGAAATGATTATTCGAAAACTTCACGATTATATAATTGTCATATTTGTGTCAGAGCGTTGGCTGTGTAGTGCAGCAGCGTTCGGGAGGTTCAAAGCAATCATCTTTTCCAGAGGGGATTACAGCTTTAAAACCAAAGTGAGTGTCCCATTCAGGAAGGGATAAAGCCCAGTGAACTAATCTGATGGAGCGGAGGTAGCTTGTACGAAGCCATCCATTTAAAGCCACCAGCCATAATCATTTCTGTGGACTGCTAACTTTCTCTCTGACCCTACAGAGCAGTCCGAACATGTTAGCATTGCATGCCTAGAGCCTGTCATCTGCACAGCCCGTATCCACAGCATGGACGGCGTTAGTCACCGCCAGACTCATCGAGAAAGGAGAACATTACAGCAAACAGAAAATTCGCATTCGACTGTTTGACATACGGCGCGTCCACGCAGCCAATGAAGTCATATGCAGACTAAGGAGAGTGTTATATCATAATCTCCGACTGATGTGATTTTTCTGTACATGTCACAATGTAAAATCAGTGCTAAATCACACAACATGAAGTGATTTAGAGAAATTTCTGTATTTTTAAATGGAAAATGTCTTGAAACAGTATAGTCCCATAAATAAATGTTATTGTTTGTTATACTTTATTGTTCAGCCTTGGCTGAAAATGAGTCTTTGGTCTTGCTTAACATTCAACAATGACAATACAATCCACATAAAAAAGGATAACATTTACATTTTAAATAAAGATCATCAAATGGGATTCTTCACACAGGGAATTTTGGGAACGCCCCTTTTTCCATAAATGAAAAAGGTTTCACATTTTTCTTATAATGTTTTTTCCAAACATATTTTACCTAAAAATGACATATTTTGCTTTGTTAAATATATATATTTATATTGAACAAATGCATACTGAACATTTTTTCATAAATACAGAATAAAATCGCATGTTTTTTTCTTTTAGACTATATTAACTTAACTTACAGTTAACTATTTAAGAGATTTTTGCTAAAGCACAAAATCATTTTCATTGTGCACTCAACCATTATATGGAAAAATATTTTCCCCTACAGTATATGATTGCAAATGCAGTCCAGAATAACCTTACTTTCTGTTTGAGTAAACATTCATTTTATAATGCATGTCTTGCAAGTCAAAAAAACTGGACATATTCTCATTATTTCAATCTGCTCAAAAACTAGGACACATTCAACAACTGTTGGTTTGTACTATTGACGTTTGACTTCCACGAAAGCGTTAATTCAATGCTAAAATAACTAGTTTCGTCCTTGTTCGGTCTGTTTTGAATGTTTTGACGGGCGCGTCTCTTGATGAGCGCTGTCCGCGGTCCTGAAATGCACACAACAGGCATGAGCTCGACCCGACGCTTTGAATCGCTCAGTCACAGCTCTGATACATCACCGGCACTTCATCGAACATAAAAATGCAAATTACACTATAAAAAAAAAATAACGAAGTGAACCTGTGGGAGTTAAACTATACGTTGAGACAGCTCATGCAAAAAGCTGTGCAAAAAAAAAAAATCAAAACACCTACCTCGAACTGGATGAACCACGTTAGAGATGTTACTATCGCCTTGCCTCCTTCAGCACTGATTTGGGTCACCTAATGCGCGTGCACACAGCTCTGGAGTGAGTGAGTGAAAAGAAAAAAAACCCTCATCCCTCATCAAAGATGGCGTGCCCCTCTGACGTCATAATGACCCTTAACACTAGGGCGTGCCAGTGCAGCCGCTGTGTGAGTGTAAATGTCCCCGCCCTCATCCAGGATGATGAGCCGCTCTAACGTTATAATGACCCTCAGCACTTGGTTGGGAGAGGCTGCTATAGAGATTTAGCGCTCATTGATCCCTGCTTTATGTTATATTGGAGTGTATGGATTGTTTGGCTCCATCTGATTTATTGTCATTGTGAAATTAGGCAGTTCTCCTTTAAAATGCTTGTAATTGACCTTGGGAATCACCCAATAGACTGTGACCTCAGAGCAGTGGATCTCAACCCTTCTTGACTCCAAAGCTGCTCATAGTTCAGGACAATATTCAAAGACAACCTTTTGAAACTAAGGAGCATCATTAAATTAAAATAAACAATTGTAAGTTATTTCATAATTCCAGGTATTACAGGAATATGAAGAATTGTTGTTGAGTCGTTGAGAAGCCAAATGACTAATTTGACTATTTTGTTTGAATCTGACCGTGTCATCAGTTCCCAAGGCCTCATTAATGGATACTATATAGAAAGAAGTATGATGGTGAAAATGGGAAGAAAACATATTTTATTGTTAAAGGCATAGTTCACCCAGATATGAAAAGTAGCTGAAAATGTACACTTAGGACATTCAAGATGTAGATGAATTTGTTTCTTCATCGGAACAGATTTGGAGAAATGTAGCATTACATCACTTGCTCAGCAATGGATCCCCTGGGTAATAAAAACATCACCATAATCCACAAGTAATCCATCAAGTAACATCTTGTGAAGTGAAAAGCTGTGTGTTTATAATAAACAAATCCATCATTAAGGTATTTTAACTTTAAACCATCACTTCTGGCCAAAATACCAGTCCATAATTCAACAAATCTTCCTCCAGTGAAAAGTCCATCCCCTGTTGTCCTCTCATATCAAAATCCCCCAACATATTTGTTTAGAACTGTTTTCACTTGTAAACAGTGCTTGCATATTTCGCTTCTTCAGACAAGACAAGTTTTTCACAGGAGACAGCAATATTTTGTATTTTAGATGGAAGCAGTGGTTTGAAGTTAAAAATGTCTTGATGGATTTGTTCATTGCAAACGGGTAGCTTTTTTGGGTGACCTATTCCATTAATCTATTCAAAATGCTCTCAGAGTAAAATATGAAGTGGAATAGAAGTCCCTAGATGTTCCCCTTGTTGAGACCAGTGTAAATGTGAGCTATATTTACAGTGTGTTTTGAAATGAATGGCTTTTTTGTATTTCCAATATTTTTAAAAGATGAAAAAATGACTTGTTTGCTTCTTGCCCCAAGCATCAAGTCTCCCTGATCTTCTAGTGGGAGCAAGATCAGATAAAAGTGCTTTAGCTATAGAGACTTACAGATTCAGATAAGGGGCACGGATCAATAGCACTTATTTGATTGTTTAATGGCTTTTGGGCTTATAAAGGTTGTTGCTTACTGTTCTTTCGGTCTGTATTTGTATGCGTGTGTGTTTCTGTGGAAGAGGATGTGTTAGGCAAGGTTATTGTGTTTGACGTTGGCAAAGGAGGACAGTAGTCTAGTAGTACAAAATAATCTGGCAAAGTGCTTCACTACATTAAAACAAATCAAGACATAAAATGTAGATACTTAATTCAGCAGGACAGATGAAGGTCAAGAATCTTCTGAGATAAAATACTGTCCGGCGAAGAGACAAAGAGCAGTTTGACTGCTTAAACATGCACTGTACAACAAACCACACACACCCTGTTAGACAGCAGAGGAGAAAAGGACTGCTGGAAGGCGTCGATATTGACTCAGCACATACAAATGAGACAGTAATGCTAGTTAGTGCAACATCCAACAAACAGGAAACCCTGCTAAATATATTGATTTACACTTACAAGATTATTACGGCTAAAAAAATGCACGTCTTTAGCACCTAAGTCTCGTTTGTACTGTCTGAAGGTGCTGCTATCATCTAGAATGAAGTTATTTGCTTATTTTGTCTGGCATATTGATATCTTGATGACATTTAAATTCAGATTAGGTTGTGAATTTCATTTTTATTATGAGATGTGATTTACATACCATTGCAGCTCCTTTCTGTTCACACTAGCAGTGTGAGTGCTGATTAATCCTGAATTCTTTGACACAAGCGCAAATTTACAGGACCCACGCTGTTACCAATTAAAGCTCATTATTTTAACTTTAAACCATCACTTCTGGCCAAAATACCAGTCCATAATTCAACAAATCTTCCTCCAGTGAAAAGTCCATCCCCTGTTGTCCTCTCATATCAAAATCCCCCAACATATTTGTTTAGAACTGTTTTCACTTGTAAACAGTGCTTGCATATTTCGCTTCTTCAGACAAGACAAGTTTTTCACAGGAGACAGCAATATTTTGTATTTTAGATGGAAGCAGTGGTTTGAAGTTAAAAATGTCTTGATGGATTTGTTCATTGCAAACGGGTAGCTTTTTTGGGTGACCTATTCCATTAATCTATTCAAAATGCTCTCAGAGTAAAATATGAAGTGGAATAGAAGTCCCTAGATGTTCCCCTTGTTGAGACCAGTGTAAATGTGAGCTATATTTACAGTGTGTTTTGAAATGAATGGCTTTTTTGTATTTCCAATATTTTTAAAAGATGAAAAAATGACTTGTTTGCTTCTTGCCCCAAGCATCAAGTCTCCCTGATCTTCTAGTGGGAGCAAGATCAGATAAAAGTGCTTTAGCTATAGAGACTTACAGATTCAGATAAGGGGCACGGATCAATAGCACTTATTTGATTGTTTAATGGCTTTTGGGCTTATAAAGGTTGTTGCTTACTGTTCTTTCGGTCTGTATTTGTATGCGTGTGTGTTTCTGTGGAAGAGGATGTGTTAGGCAAGGTTATTGTGTTTGACGTTGGCAAAGGAGGACAGTAGTCTAGTAGTACAAAATTAAAGAACCTTCAGTGGTTCCATGGATGTTAAAGGTTCTTCATGGAACCATAGATGCCAATAAAAACCTTTCATTTTAAGAGTACTTGGATGTAAAGGTTCTTCATGGAACTACAGATGCCAATAAGAACTTTTACTTTTAAGAGTGCTCCTCAGATTAAAAATGAAAAAGTCAGTAGTTAAATATAGTAAAAGAAATTCAAAATGTGAGATATAAAGTCATACTGTGAGAAATTAGCCATAATCGCGAGATATAAAATTGCAATTTTGTGAAATAAAATCACAGTTGTGAGTTATGAAATCACACTGTATGATACAAGGTTATGAAAATAACCTAGTCACTAGAATGCTGTTTTGAGCAATCAGCATTCAAGACTGGAATTATAAATACATTTCAATTTATTTCAAACTAATTGTGTCCTAAAAACAATGTCATACAATACCATTTGGACTGAATGATACTTGTCATCTGCATTTCTAAATATTCCTCCCTCCTCATTGCTGGTACACCTTTCTCCTTTCCCCCTCCTCTTCCTTTTTCCTTTGGAGCTAAAGATTAGGAGCTGATGTCAGTGTGTCTGTGAGTGCCACATCATCAAGGCAATTACCTCCTGCACTGGAGCCGATTATCATTTCCTCATCCTTTTATGGCCTTGCGCTTATTAAACAGTCTAGAATTAACTTAATATTGAAATCAGCCTGTCCATTGATTGCCCTGTTTCTGTCTGTAGCGCAGAAGAATTGACATCTTCAGTGTCTTGTCCTTTCTGCAACGGCCACTTGAACCATCATCACATCCGGTTGCACAGTATGCAATGACAGATAGAGTTTCAGCTGACTCCACTGTGTCTCCTTTCATGTGAATGCGCCGAGTCAGAGCCTGGGAACAACAATGTGCAGGTGTTGTGAATTTCTATTGAGCTTTGCAGAATCATTCAATGGAGATGAACAACATTTAAAACTTGCTGTGTAGTTGCTGGGGCGTTCAACACATTCCATATTTAACACAGAGTGTCCCGTTTGATTTCTAGGGTCTTATTAAAGAAAAATGAAGATTTGCTGAAAATGTACTCACCTTATCCCGAATATAGATGGGACTCCAGTCCATCAATTAACATCTTGAGAAGCGAAAAGCTGCATGTTTGTAAGAAACAAATCCAGCAAGACATTTTTAACTCCAAACCACTGCTTCTAAAATACGAGTCCATTAATCTGTAATATTCAATTAGAAGATAAATATCACAGATCACGTTACAAGCGACAATAGTTCAAAGTTTTAAACAAATAAGAAAGAAACTGGAGAACGTGTTATTATGGATTATTGATGCATTCTGATGGCACCACTGCAGACAATCCATTGTTCTGATGAAGAAACAAACTCAGCTAAGTACATTCCTAGTAGGACACCTCTGTGCTGTGCACATTGTTTCTTGTACACAATATTTTACATCTACATTCAAAAATAAATTTTTCAGTGTTTCTCCCTGTAACACATCCAGACATAATTCTCGTGTTAATCTTTAAACATATAAGTAGACTATTATTCTTGTGTTCTTGTAAACCAAAACATTGTCTGCAGTTAAAATTATGCGTAATACATTATTGTATCTGACTGCCCCCTACTGGCCAATGTGATTTAAAACATGCATGTGTCTATGGATATATCAATCAGAATGACACAATCACCTACAATGATTAATGTGTTACCTTGAAATATGTGACTGTCATCTCCTTTCCCTGTGTTCAGTGGGGGTTGGGGATTAGAGGCAAAGTCACAGGAGAAGCATTAAGGAAAAAGGCTTATAGAGCAGGTGGTGCTCTCAGTCAGGGGTTTGTATAGCAGTATCCCAAATGGCAGCAAACTAAGGTGACCACTGTGCATCTCATTGACTGACTATGAAAGGTTATTTTTATCCACTATCAAGAAAAGGGATTTATATTGTGGTCCTTCTTTACCTATCTTTCATTTTTTTGTCAAGTCTGGGAACGACTAATTTGTCAGAAATTAAAAGACAGACAGTAGCTCTGAATGCAAAGCAGCTATTGCACAGAGACATTTAATTTATTCCTCCCCAGTCGTTCAATCCCATTCAGCTCTGGGATGCTCTTGTTGAAGTGTGTGAAGTCCTTGCGAGTCGTCTTTTTGTCAAAGTGTTCCCTTCTTCTTCTCAGTGTGTTGTGGACTGTTGGTGAGATGTCTTCCCCAAAGCTATAATGCAAAAAAACATCAGAAATTTTAAATCAATCAATCAATCAATCAATCTATCTATCTATCTATCTATCTATCTATCTATCTATCTATCTATCTATCTATCTATCTATCTATCTATCTATCTATCTATCTATCTATCTATCTGTCTGTCTGTCTGTCTGTCTGTCTGTCTGTCTGTGTTTTTTAATGTCTTACGGTTTTGGGAACAAAGCTGATGTCAGACTTGTTGGTGCCAGTTCTAATGGTGAACTTTGGGTTCTTAACTATGATATTGTCTCTCAGGTCTTTTTTCACAGCTGCTGAAACTGATAGTGCTGGTGACCGAATACCCATCTACAGAAAACAGAATTAAAAATCATTAAAAATCCCAACTCTAGCTATAGACAGAAAGGAATTTTTCCCATTCACCTTTTCTTGTGCCGAAGAGGGTGTTTTTAATGTTGGTTCTGGTTTCCTTTCTTTGTCATTTCTGTTGAATTTGGCCATGAGCAAGCCAATGATTCGCCATAATTTATAGCGATATCCAAGCAATTTTGCTCTGTGAACAAACGTATTTCATTTTTTTAATGGGAAAAATTATACAAGTAGATGTAGACATACACTACTGTTTCAAATACTTCAAATAAAAGCTATTCCTGAATCCTGAAAAAATGTATCGTAGTTTCCACAAAATTATTAAGCAGCACAATTGTTTTCAACAACAATAATAATAAACCTCTGACAAGCTTCACAGCACCAGCCTTAGATGCCTCCATGAGCGCCGAGCATCGTGTCATCTTTGGGGAGACAAAACATGACAAATATTCTGATTCAACTCCATCAAAATCCACATTTTCTTGCTGAACTACTAAGCCGACTGTATCATAGTTGATACTCACATTTCTAAGGACTCCAAATGATCAATATGTCCAAAACTTCGCTGAAATGAGATTCACATTTGCATGATTTGTGATTAAAATATACACAATATTGAACTTGCTACAAAAGCGTAACGGAAAGCACAGTTTCGGCTGTACTCGATAAAAATCGGAAATTGTCGTTCTGACACTTTCGGAAACACTCGGTAAAAGCCGTCAGACTTCGTGCCCATGTTTACGCTCTCCCATTCTCTGAAAGATAAACGCTCTCCTGCTATATTCCTGTGAAGCAAAGCTGAATTTTCAGCAGCCATTACTCCAGACTTCAGTGTCACATGATCCTTCAGAATTAATTCAAAAATAGCTGATTTAAGCACTTAAGAAACATTTATTATTAGTATTATCAATGTTGAAAACAGCTGCACTGTTTAATATTTTTGCCGAAACCAAACATTTTTTTTTTCAGGATTCTTTGACTCTTGTATTTATTTGAAAAATAAATGTTTTGTAACATTATAAATATATTTACTGTAACTTGTGATCAATTTAACGCATTTTTGCTAAATAAAAGTATTAATTTATTTTAAAAGAATCTTACTTTTCCCAGACTTTTGAATTTCAGTTTCCACAAAATTATGATGTAGCTTTCAACGTTATTAATAATAAGAAATGTCCTGAACAGCAAATCATCATATTAGAAAAAAACATGTGACACTGAAGACTCTTTGCTGGATGGATTTTCATCTTTTCTTACTCCTGCAACTTCAATATCAGCGGAAATACACTTTTCTATCACTCACACAACTTTAGATTACATACACTGCATACTTTTTCTTGCTAATTTGTTCTTCTAGTTTCATCTTGAATGACTTTCAAATGTACAAGATTGACATCTCTCTTCTTCTGGAGCATGCTGCATGCTCCTTTCCAGCTTCTGTAGTAATCAGCAATGTGACGACAGGAAGCCGTACAATTCTGCATATGAACAGGTTTGTGTGTAAGTACTATGAAGCTCTTTGCTCACAGGACGGCTGTCGCAGCAGATCACATCAAAACGAAAAAAATACTAACTGCTCAAAGTGGTTTAAAGGGTGCACTAAAGGTGTATGGTTCAAAGTTCAGTGTGGCACGCTTTCTGAGCCTGTTATATGTTTCCTGCCCAAATCACTCAGTAGTGTATATGGGTCACTGCAATACCTCTCTGTTTGCTGCACTAGTTTCATCGTGGGGGATTTTGCACGGCGTGGGGTGGACATATCTGGTGTGGCTTGGCAGCAGTGGGGTGAGACCCCGTGTGCCTGTTGTGTGGTGTGTCCCACCAATGGCTCTCGCACTGTCGTGCTCTCGGACACGTAAGAGTAGCATCCAAAGTCACAATAATCATAACATAGCCAAAGTTAGATGGGTACCTGGTAAATTACCATTTCTAATTTTCAAACATAATCTGAGAAAGTCTTTCCGCAGTGGCACTGCTGTAATTGACAATAAATTAGTCTTAAAGTAGCTTCCATTAACAAATCATGACAATTTGACCTTGCATGCATTAATTTGAATGCTTGAATTTGGGGGTGGGGGGGCGGTTTGTTATTTTCAGTGAATTTATTTTCACAATTAGATGTCTGTTTTATACAAGATTATTTTATTTAATCGGTTTAAACAACACACAACAGCACACAATGTCAAAGCTTTCTAACTAACTAGCTAACTTATTCCACGGCGGTCTGAAATACATGATTCTGACAGATCAATTGCTGCATTCTATGGCCAAATATTGTATATGTTATATAATATATATTGTACATGTTATATAAAAACCACTAAACTATATAAATGAATTATGAATTTTACATTATTATGAAGCTCACATCTTTATATAATTGATCTGGTAAGCAGCCGTGTAATAAGTGGCATAATGTCCAGTCAGCCATTCAGTCAGCTTGTTTCTAAAAAAATAAAATAAAAATTGAATAAAAATAAAAAAGATAATTGTGACTTTTTATCTCACAGTTCGGACTTTTCATCAGAATTGTGAAATATAAAGTTAACATCTCGCATTTCTGAATTTATATATACAGTGAGAGAGAGAGAGAGAGAGAGAGAGAGAGAGATAGATTCACAATTCTGAGAAGAAAAGTTGGAATTGTGAGATATAAACTAGCAATTGTGAGAAAAAAGTTGCAATTAACTTTTTTATTTTTAATTCCATGGAATTAAACTCAGAATTTGTGAGGAAAAGTCTGAGTCTGAAAAAAAAATTATTTATATTTTGGAGTTCTGACTTTTTTCTTATAATTGTGAGTTTATATCTCAAAAGAGTTTTTTTTCTTCTCAGAATTTCGAAGATAAAAATCTGAATTGTGAGATAAAAAGTCACAATTACATTTTTTATTCTTTTATCCCGTGGCAGAAACAGATAAAGTCTTAATCACCCGGTTAAGGTTTATTTTTGTGGTTAAAGGGTTAGTTCACCCAAAAATGAAAATTAGGCTGTGTTTTACTCACCCCCGAGGCATCCTAAGTGTATATGACTTTCTTCTTTCAGACGAATCCAGTCGGATATATAAAAAATTGTCTTTGATCTTTCAAGCTCTTTCGTCGCACTCAGCGGGTGTTGCATTGCTTCAGTCCAAAAGACGTGAAATAAAAAGCACCCTTCCATAAAAAAAAGTGTCTCACACGGCTCCGGGGGGAGAACAAAGGCCTCCTGTAGTGAATCGATGCGTTTTTGTAAGAAAAATATCCATATTCAAAACATAATAATCACTTGAATCTAGCTTGCGCTCACTGTTGTAAAACGGAAGCAGTTCCGGGAGCATGACGTATGAGGTCAGCTTTGCGCATGAGCCGCTCAGAAGTGACGCACGCGGAGAGATCAAAACAAAACAACGGTCACTAATTAGAAGTACAAAACGAGGATTTGTAAAGAAGAATGTCAGCGTTGTTGGTTAGACAACGCTGACCCCATATGTCATGCTCCCGGAACTGCTTCCATGTACATCTGCTGGCGCATGCTAGATTAAAGTGATTATTACGTTTTGAATATGGATATTTTTCTTACAAAAACACATCGATTTGCTACAGGAGGCCTTTGTTCACCCCCCGGAGCCGTGTGAGACACTTTTTTTTATGGAAAGGTGCTTTTTATTTCACGTCTTTTGGACTGAAGCAATGCAACACCCGCTGAGTGCAACGATAGAGCTTGAAATATCAAAGACAATTTTTTATATAACTCCGACTGGATTCGTCTGAAAGAAGAAAGTCATATACACCTAGGATGCCTCGGGGGTGAGTAAAATGCAGCCTAATTTTCATTTTTGGGTGAACTAACCCTTTAAGACTGGTTGAATGTACATTATCCTTTAATTTCATTTGCTTTGTTTGTAGCAAACTAATATATAAAACACTTATTTTCATCTCAGCCTTGAATAATATTTCTAGTCTCTAAAACCTGTTTTGAGAACTTCCAAAACCTTTTCCCTCTTTGCTGAGAAACAGTCTTTGGTTTATAATCACAATTATCTTGTAATCACAGCCCAAAGCTGACTATGCCTGTACTGATGACTGTTATCAAACACTTTACTCTATACAAACTGACAGGCATCCGGTCTAAGGCAATAAGCTAGGGGTTTTCTGCTATACAGACCTTTCACTGATTCAGTTTGTTACTGTAAACAGTTTTGTATTATATGATTACAGCAGATCATGTCAAAATAATGGATAGAGACCTATCATGTACACAAAATACAATCATGATTTACTGATTGTTGTAGTCTAAAATACAAGAAAACTTTCATCAGCTATTCTCTCGGTTTAATCAGAAACTTGCCAGATGTTTCTGTAGAAGATTTTTCAAAGGTGGACCTGAGCCAGTACAAGTGGATCCACTGGGAGGTGAGAGTGTCCACCAAATATGTGAATATAAAGTTCACACTAGTCACACTGAAACACTATTTAGTTCCGTCTGATCTGTGTTTAATAGCTTTATTCCACAAGTAGAGAACTAGAGCTGATTGTTTTATGGATGCATTGTCAGGGCCGTAATGCTGACGAACAAGTGAAGATGATTGAGAGGGCGAGAGAGTATAACAGCAAACGGGAAGAGAAGAACAGAATCACCATCTCTGTGGAAATCGAGAAAACCAGGGAACCCCTCTACCAGCTTTTTCCTCTTGGTGATTTGGTATGATTTTACTATATTTGAAAAATAAACTGTACATGAATAAAACACATTATGTTAAACCACGTAGTCAAATGTTCTTTGTAAATTGATTTTGGACTGGCAGATCACACAAAATATTTACATTTTGAACTGCGAAATTAATTTATATATTATAATATATAATATATTAATATTAATTTAATATTTTATTTAAATGTATATATTATAATTTATACATATACTACTGTTCAAAAGTTTGGGGTCAGTGTGATGGTTTTATTATTATGATTATTTAAGGAAGCATTACATTTATCAAAAGTGGTAGTAAAGACATTTAGAAGTTTACAAAAGATTTCAATTTCAAATAATGCTATGCAATTTGCAAATGTAAATAAATTTGAACATTGCATTCATCAAAGAATCACAGTTTCCACAAAAATATTAGCCAACCATTTTGTAGCTTGAAAATTCAGCTTTGTGATCACAGGAAAAAATGACAAAGAAATACTACTACTGGTTATTTAAAATTGTATTGTATTGTATTTTTGATAAAACAACAACAAAAAATATTAAATATACAGTATTTTAAAATGTCAAAATATATGACTTATAAGTAGGTCCATACACAATTTGCATTCTACAATTATTTCTCTTGTACAGCGACACAGAGACAAAATCTTCAAATAAACAGAGCTGAGAATCCTGAACTGTTGGAAGCTGAAGTCAAAATATGTAATAAATATATATTCAACAAAATATTTAATAAATGACCACGCAAAAAGCATAAGATTTAAAGAAGCAGTGCATTTAATTTTTGTGGAAATCTGAGTGTGCCTTTATGAATGCAGGGCAGCTGATAAGCTTTGAGGCATGCTTGTACACTACACAGCCTGTTTATCTGTCACTGCTTTCAATCAGGTCTTTGTTAGTAAGGATGTGGCCCAGCACTTTGGGTTTACCTCAGCTGCTGCTGCATTGAAGGGCTTCTATGGTCATCTGAGAAAAGGGTGAGTCAGTGGTTTAAAATGACCGCTAGATGTCATTGGTGTTGCAAAAACTCTGACTTTCTGGCTGCTGTTGTTTTTTCATTGTGCGTTCCAATTAATCTCAATCAAACTGCAGTTAAGTTATTTTGATTAGGTTAAAAATAACTAAAAAATACAGCTAATTAACACAATAAAACACAATAAAAACATGATTAAAAAAAAAAAAAGGAGTTATGTTTTTGCAAATATATATAATATGTGATATCAGAAATAAAATGAAAATTTAACTTTAGAATCACCAAAGCTTTTTTTTTTTGCACTACCGGTCAGAATAATTAAAATGTTTAGCATTTTTGCAAGAAATTTTTATGCTGCATTTATTTGATCAAAAATACAGTAAAAACATTAATACTGTGAAATATTTTTACAATTTGAAATAACTGTTTTCTATTTTAATATACTTTAAATTGTAATTTATTCCTGTAATGCAAAGTTGAATTTTCAGCATCATTACTCCAGTCTTCAGTGTCACATGATTATAATATGCTGATTTGCTGGTCTAGAAACATTTCTTTCTTTCTTTTTTATCAATGTTGAAAACAATGATAGACTTTCTTTTCAAAAGTCTGGGGTAAGAAATGAATACTGTTATTCATAAAGGATGCATTAAGTTGATCAACAGTGACAGTGAAAACATTTATAATGCTACAAAAGATTTCGATTTCAAATGAATGCCATTCTTTTTGAATTGTATTCACTTTCTGTTCACCAAAGTATTGTTTCCACAAAAATATTAAACAGCAAAAACAAATGTTTTCAACATTGATAATAAAAATAACCTTTATTAATAATTGAGCACCAAATCAATATCGAAGTCAAATAATATTTCACAGTATTACATGTTTTACTGTACTTTTGATCAAATAAATGCAGCTTTGGTGAGCATAAGACACTTTTTTTTATAAACACATTATTCTAAACTTTTAACCTAAACCTGTATTGAAGAAAAAATTGTTAGCATACTACCCAACAGTGCTTTGATAATACTCATGAGTTATGAGGAGGAGTCCAAGGATATTGTTCCCTGACTGATACTGAAGAGCTGGCAAGCATCTCTGCAGCAGTAGGGAGCACAGGCCTGTGTGTTTGCTCTCTGTGCAGAGAAAAAACAGGGGAAGTCAGCTGAATATAAGTGAACAAAGATGAAAGACAAACAAGATGTGTTACATTTTCCCACCCAATCCCATTTAGAGACAGCTGGCCAGCACTACATGGATTCTTTTACCACACCCATTGTGCAATAATGACACCCTGTCTGTCTAACAATATCTGTTTGACATTTACTTAGGGGAAAATTACACAAATGGAATTTCTTTAAGCCTATGTATAAAACTTTTTTTTGCATATACTGTAAAATGTACAAACTTTTACAAACTTTTTACAAACAAAAAACATATACAAACTTTTCTCAAATTTGTGGAAATACTTGGTGTATCACATGCCTGGAAATCTGTAGCAATCACTGACATGGTCAAATGCAAATAATTTTGGGGATTGTAGGTAGAGTAGTTCTTACTTTTCCAACTTTAAACATGCTTAGCATGAAATTGACCCCATGAGCAAAGATTCATCAGTGCACATTATTCCAAAGAAAAAAATGACTTCATAATATTTCATCAAAATGTAATAACTTACTGTACCTCAGAACCAACTTTCCTTTTCAGCCACAAACATGAATATGAGCTGAGAAGACAAGGAAAGCCAATAGCCAAATAATAGCCAATAGCTATATAGTTGTTGAAAATTATGCATCTTTTCTAAAATCTTGACTTAGTTTTTGCAGTAATATACAATGGCTTTACAAAATACTTTTCCATTTGGATGAAGTTAGGCATCAGTCTTCAAGCCTCCTCTAATGTGCATTCCAATGTTGTTTCCTCATCAATACATTGAAAATTCACATTCGCTCTTTCTCCATTTCGCACTTTGGACAATCCAATCCATTCCTGGTGGATAAAATCATTTTTCATCCTACATTTACTTTGAATATTCTATTTAATTTGGAAATGTTTCATTACAAAAATAGAATGGGTTATGAATGCTGTTTCATGTTGACGCCATCAAAGAAAGGAAAAAACAGATTGACCTTCCTTACAGACTGGATTTAGGGTTGTTAAAGTAGAAAAAGCAATACAGGAATACAGTATGAAGAAATTGAGAATTTTTTTTTTTTTAATCATGAAAACTCCCCATGGTGGCACATATCAGAATGAGGGCAGGAGGTTCACACGCCAACACTTTGTCTAGACACCAGTGACTTGACAAACAGAAGGCATTATTCACCAAAACTACATCCCAGTATGACTATGGATGGACACCCAGAAATGTTTTTTTTCCATTAAATCACAAGCCAATCTCCGAACGACTGCTCTGGCTTGCGATGTAGAAAATTAAATGCATTGTACACTCCTCTTCTTAATCACAGCGTTTCTGTGCACATGCCTCTAAAAATTATTTTTAAAAACAGAAACAGTGGGGCTTTCTATTTGAGAACAATGTTTTCAATCACATTTTGCTTTGACAAATGATCCAGCAACTCCAGTATGGACTTCTTTTTCCATGTTGAATAGAGAAGTCACAGACAGTGGCAAAAATCGCACCATCCATCACTGACTGGAATTCTATTCAACAGAATTACGGTTCTTGACTACCAAACACTCTTCATTGTGTTTGAGACAATGAACAGTAGTCTGCTTAGTGTTTTGAACAATGCCGGTGCTAAATTAAATGGTATGTCTTCAAGTAATCCAATATACCTGACAAAACCCTATAACACTGAGTTCAGCAGAGAGTAAAATGTGTAAAATTAAATATCTTTATTTGAAACACACGTGTTGCCAATGTACACATTCAAGGTAACAGGTTAAACCGTGAGAGGGAACTATAAAATCTTAGATTTGGTCTCTTTTACATGTAAATAGATGTTTTAATGCTTACATTGCTGCCGTAGCTTCCATTTTATGAGCTGGGAAATCTCTTTATAACTAAAAATAATGAATGAAACAGCACATAAAAGATAGCAGCCTTAATTTTCAACATTCTAGACCATATGAAGTCTGAAAATTCATAGTGTTACACACACTGAGATCTTTTCTCTCATCGTGCTGTGAAATTGCACAAGCATGTTTTAAACAAGAAAAAGCAAAAGCCGCTTAGTTCAAAATTCTTTGGGCTGTTGTACAGTAAACATTCAAGCGAGACCACACAGACAGAAGGAGTTGATGTAGGACACCCTCTGAATCCTCAGCTTTGTTATTCTTCAAAGGCACTTTGTTGAACCACATTAAGGACAGGCTCTGTTTGATAATAATCTCCATTGAGCGCTCAGGCTGAGAATATGAATATGGAGCAAAATGCAACGGTTCTCCACTACAGTAGAACTGATGTCTTTATAAATGCTTCAACAGGATCTCAAAATGCAGGATGATGCATGTACAAAAAGCCCTTTCTCGTTGGTTAGATAAGCCACTGTGGAAACCGTGTGCCTGAGGAACGAAGATTTCATTGCATTCATCTCTTTTCCAGAGGCAGAGTTTGCAATGGAAAGCAATGATATACATCACTGATTGTCAGGTTGGATAACATATTCAATGTTTCCTGAAATCATTAACTACCAACCACATATTTAATTAAGTAAAGCATTTTTGGCAAGAGCAGGCTGTTACTCCTGGAAAACTTGGCACTTCCAATATAAAAGAATTGGAAAGAAGTCAAACTAAGGCACATATGGTACGTTTAAAGATCATGCCTTGACTCAAAGCAGAAAAAGGAGCACAGGATTTGAACATTCACAGCAAAAATATGAATTCCTTTCATCAGATCTCCCAAATTCCACACCCATCAGCCTAACCTATATAACCCTGACTGCGAGTCAAGCTCTTTGGCAGAAGAGTACTTTACCGTGCAGTGGCATACATGGGAAGTCGAACAGACCTCACAGTCATCTTCGGTGCATGAGAGATTACTCTTGACTCATGTCTGTGATTCATATAACATGGAAATATCTCAATAAGAACATCGTCAACAATGGTCGCACAAACCTGCAGTAGTATTTGTTACAACACTTCTCCAAAATGCGGGTTAGGATTACATATCGAGGGCAACAGTTCCTCCACTTAAAACTATATTCTCTGTTCAAGGAGTTCATAGGAGGTCTAACAACATCCGTAGATTTGGATACGATACTGAAGAAAAATCAATGCACAGCGTGTGCATCGCCATGCCAGATGGATAAACGTCATTTAGAGTGTCTCTTTCTAGCCCCGTCGTTTTGCTAGTCTTCTGATTAGTCTCAGTGCTAATCATTGAAAAGACCACTACACATCTTCATATAGAAGCATACCACTGAAGATAGTTAAAGGCTCCACTGAATGGGCCAGTTTGCCCATGACCAGGTCTATGCAGACTGTATCGCCCACCTGAAGGGGCAGGATGATGTTGAAGACAGCCAGAGAACCTGGTGTTGGTTTTGCTTCGGCCATGGGTTTGTTTTCCAACCCTTCTGGTTGGTAACCTGCCGAGTCCACCCGAGCCATGCCATAGTTAGACCTGGAGAGCACAGCTTCAATCTTCTCATTTTTGTGACCTGTCAGGATAGCGCTAAAGAAGTAGCGTCCATCAAGTGGTGCAGTAAAGATACCTGTATTCAAGAAAAAAACTAACATGTATACAGTTTTCCATGGCTCCATCCTTCCACATTATTTTTGCTTCATGCCAAAGTAGAATTGCAAATAGACTGTCTGTCAGCAGTGCCAAGATTACCTGTTCGTGGATTATAATAGCTTCCTTCATTTACCAAGATCTTATCAAAAATGATTGTTCCAGATGTAACCATGGGATTTGTGAGAGCTGTTGAGAAGGAAAGACGTGGTATGTTGGCATCTGCGCCGGCCACACCTGAAATGATCACAACAGTACATTTTTAAAAGAAAGCTCTAAAATGTGTTTTCAAATTGCTGACATCGTCAGTTCTTAACCCTAAATTGATCCCTATATAGACATGGTTTACACAACCAGTTTTAGTTATCAGCTGCTGACCTTTGGCTCAACTACTGACCCAGTACTGCCAATAACAACTGAACAGATGGTGCAACACTTAAGACAGAAAAATCGCTGACTTTAATGCAAAAGGACACTTTACACATCTCACTGAATTCTTGCCTTCATTCCAAACATTGGCACACATTAAAATAACCTCAGTGTTTGACTAGGATATGGCTGCTGAAAGAATTAAAAGCAAATTAAATACATACCTCTCTCTCCTTTGAGACCTATAATAGGAGAAAGCAAAATGTGAGTCACTTTAAAATATGGTGCAAGTGTCATATAATATGAAATGTCTAGTTCACCCAAAAATTACAATTGTCATTCTGAAATTTATTCATCCTCATGTCATTCCAATCTTGTAATTTTTTTTCATCCATGAAACACAAAAGGAGATCTTGCGTAAGAAACTGAGCTTCTGCTTTCCATATAAGAAAAGTACAGTATACAGCCAAGCTCCAAAAAGCACCATGAATAAGTAAATAATGACAAAATATTAATTTTTGGGTGAACATTTTCACTAATCCTTAGACAAAAACAAGGTTTCTCACCAGGAGGTCCTTTTGGCCCAAGTAAGCCCGGAATACCTGGTGGTCCATATTTACCTGGAGGTCCCTGTGGACCTGGGAGCCCTCTTTCTCCCTGCGGACCTGGTGGTCCAGATAAACCTATAATGAAAAAGGAAGTAATTAAAAGAGTTTGTCTTTTCATATCCATCAGGGTCGTGCAAATTTCAAAATCGTCTTCCTTTGAATGTGTGTAAATTTGAATTGAACAGGCACACCCCACAGGAAGTTGAATTGGAATTTGAATAGGAATGACAGCAAGAGAGGTTCACTGAATTGTAATTCAAAGACATTCAACAAAGTAATACACTCTGGGAATTGCATTATGGATTAAATTAAATGGAATCCATTCTCAATTCAATTCAGAATGGTGTACAACCCTGATATCCATTAAAATGTCAGAGCTATGTTAGTTACTGGTGCTGGAAATTTAGAATATGTTCTTACAGGCTGTCAAATTGCAATGTTAGTAAAACATTTGTTTGAGTTTGAGAGTTTGACTTTCTACTTTCTAAGTCAGACCTGTTAAGTCATTCTCAGTTAAGCTCTGGAACTCCTTGAGGATGTGGTCCACTGAGGAATTGAGTCTCTTGATGTTGCCATGGATATCATCCAGATGTGTGTTCTGGAGGATCTCAATGAACCCACTGTGTGAGATCACTGTGTTGTTTAGCCCACTGACACAGTTCCACAGGCTAGACATGTGTTTGTTCAGGCCTTCTTTGATCTTCTGGAGATTTTCTGAGACAGAGTCAAGCCGACCACAAACCACTTCGAGTTTAGAGAGCCTCTTATCCAGACCATCGCCGGTCCTCTTGCAGTCACCCATCTCAACCACAAAGTTATTCCCAAAGCGATGTACATCTCGATCCACATTGTCAAAACGTATCCTGCTATCCTCTATGTGCTCTGTCATTTCCTGCTGGATCTTGTCAATTTCAGAAATAATTTTGTCTTTGGTGTTTCCAAGATCGGTGATAACACTGTCGTGTTTCTGGACCACATGCTCCAGACCTTTTAGTGTGTCATTGATGGAGCTGAAGGTTAAGATGACCTCAGACAGTTCTCCCTGAATTGACCTGAGGTCACCTGTATTACTACTGATGACACTGTATCCATCCAGTGGTTTCTGTGGGTCATCCAGGTGACCTGTTCCTGATTCCGTTCCTGTAGGAGTATTCAGGCTGGTCTTGCATTGACCACTGCAATTCTGTACCTCCTGTCTCAACTGATCCATCTCATCCTGCAAACTGGAGCAAACATCCACACAACCCGTCTGACCAGAGTCAATTTGACCTTTAATGTAGTTCATTTCTTTCTGCCATCTGTCCATGGCATGGTTTGTGATGTTCTTGAGTTTCTTTAGGTCATCTTCCACTGTGCTGCACACGTCACAGTTCTCAATCTCCATGACAATCCTGTTGAAGTGTTCCCCATTGTCTCCAGTTAGTGCTTTGATCTTGCGAACATCATGGCTGAGGTTAATGACCCTATCTTCAAGAGAATAACCAGACACAGAGAGATCCTTGAGTCGTGTGTCAAACCTCTTGATCTCATCTTCATTTGCAATGACTCTCCACTCCAAAGACTTCACTGTCTCACTAGGGCTCGCACTACCACCGGTTGGACTTGACCCAGAACTTGAGCCTGAGCACCCAGAGCATTCGCGTAACTTCCTGTCTATGAAGGATGTTGTATTCTCAAGCCGAGATAGGCGCTTATCAAGATCAAATACAGTTTCTTTAACGATTCCTATATCAAGGTCCATGTCATTAATCCTGTATTCCTGGTCAAGAAAACGATTATTGAATTCATTGCGAAGATTTCTGAGTTCCTGCTGGAATGAGTCCTGTATGTTAGTCTCCATATAAGCACAGTTTTCCTCTGCCTTCTGGACAGTGTTGTTGAGCCGTCTCTCCAGGTCTTTTAGATTATCATTGAAAAGATCTTCTGGCATTATAGGAACTTGTCCAAAATTTCCACCGCCTCCAGTTCCTCCTTGTTCCCTATTCAGACGATCCTGAAGCTTGTCATAGGCCTCTGACGTTGAGCTTATCTTCCTATCCATGTCATTAAGTCGTCTACTAAGGTTTGTTACAGTGTCACAGCAGCCTTGAGACCGGCTGAGGTCTCGGCGCAAACCATCAAGAGTCTGGCGGTGACGCTGGTCCATGGCATTAATCTGCTTTTCTAGAGCCAAGATCCTCTCTCGATCTTGTTGCTGTTGCCTTCTCAAGTCTTCCACTCCAGACTGACAGGCAGAACATGAAAGAGTCACTCGACGTTCAAGCTCTCTGAGGATTTCCTCCTTCAAGGTGTTGAACCCGTTTCCTCCTACTCCCCCAAAGTCTAAGTCATTGCCTTCTCCCTTTCCATTCACGAGGTGGTTATTGATGCTGACTAGAGTCTTGTCATGAGCTTGAGTACGGTTGTCCAACTGATCAAGCTTGGTCTGAATGTTATGGATGGTCTCTTTCATTTCAGGCTGGGCTGCATCAGCTGGTGTTTTGCCACTATTAAAACCTGGTTTATGCATTTCCTCTTGGAATCTTTCATTCATGCCACGCAGAGTTGACTGCAGGTCAGTTAGGTCTTTGTTCAACTTCTGGATTTTGTCCTCCAGTTGCTTCATCTTGTCATTGTCACCTCTCCCTAGGCAAATATCAAACACAATGGTAATTTTAAGATAGTCAGTAGCTATTTAAAGATTAGCAATAGTTTGGCAGACCCAGAATTCACAGTCCTGTCAACTCTGACAATCAAAACATTGCTCCAGTGGCCAGTTTTAACATTTTGGGGGTATTTCTGTAAAGACTCAGTTATATTTGGATGTGCTTGAAAGATGCAGAAGATGCAGGTATGGAAGAATCGAGAACATCAACAAGGCCAGACATTGTTAGACAACTGCGTGAGCAACTACAGCCAACAAAGACATCCAAATATAACCAATGGATTTTGGTATCCTCCAAAATTAAAAACAATCAGTGATAGACTTTTTGGTGCAACACCTTGTTAAAATTTAATTGAAAACATTTGCAACATAGTGTGAGGACCATGAGAAAACATTGACTTACCATTCCCTCCGCTCTGTCCATGACCGGAATTAGTTCCAGTTTGTCCTGGTTGTGGTCTAGGCCAAGGTCTGCTTGTTGAGATCTGAGTATCAGATCCCCCATTTGGTCCATCATTACAGTCTTCTCCACTGTATCCATGGCAACACTTCCACTCCATTTCTGTTAACATTTTGTAAGCCACTTTGTATCTGGGCCTCATGTAGGTCCGGTACCTATAAACAGATGAAAACCATTTGAATGAAAGCTTGAAATTTCCTAGTTTGGACACTGCTGTGATAAATCTTGCCATGCCTAAGTGTTTCCTGACTTGCAATGTTTAGTTTGAATTATGAAATACATGGGACTGAGAAACAATCAAACAATACAAATTATATGATGATACAAACTACAAAGAATACAATCAATACAATCTAAAACAACAAAAACTATCCAGGCCTAGTACATGCATTACCTTACTATTCACTATTCTGTATATTGTATAATATATTCCACATTAAACAGACTCTCACTTTAAACAAACCGATCCCTTCTGGGAACAGTGCTGTATTGCAAAACTCACTACTCAACAAATTAATTTCTGCGTGTCGCTCTCAGAGCGAGACCCACATATACCGACATACACTTGAAAAGCACAGGCTGTATTGCATGCAGTTTTTGGTCCAAGAATGGAGAAAAACATTCATAGCATATACTGTATGTTTCAAAATTAATTCTCAGCACTACCACTACCACATACCACTTTCGCAAGTTGCTACACTGACATATGCCGGCCAGCTGTATAAACCTCTTATTCAATGAAGGGCTGGGTTATGGTAGAAACAGTGCATATCCTTAAATATAGCATGGATCCCTCCTTCAATCTATAGGACCTTTTGTATGTTTTGTCATTCAGAAACTATAAATCTACTTGCTGAAGTTTAATACTCATGGTTAGGGGTTTCTAAGAAAGATTGTATAAGACCATCTTATCAGAGACATTATATTTATGTTGTAATTCTGACCAGTAGTCTAGGTCTCAAGTTCACTGTGTCATTCAAATAAACAAATATATAGTGAAACATCACGGTTAGCCTTGAACCTATACATCAGCGCCATATTAAGGTGCAAAAGGAAGCAATTTCAGCTTTTTTTTCCCCCCCAGGACTTTTGGTTACAGTTCTTAAGCCACTGAATTCATGTCTCCACGCTCTGTTTGTTCCATGACCCCCGTGAGAAGAAAAAAAGGAGAAAAAGGGGTCACCATACTCTACTGGGTGAGTTTAAAAATAAGTGGTGGTATTTTAGTAGGTTTTAAGCCTAATTCCTGTGGCGCGCTGGTTGTAGTGTTTGGAATGACATGCCACCTCATTCCATACATACTGTAGCAGTGCGTGTGTGCTGAATCTAAAGGAGTTGGATTAAGCTTTTCCAGCTGGAGTTCAGTACGTTTCCAGTAACTGGAAACCACCTCACAATTGCACACACTTACTAATCCTGGCATCCTCAAACTACATTCTATTTATCTCCATTTGTTGACATTAGCTTTACTATGTAAACACAATGTTTTTAGTGTTTCTTAGACTTTAATGAATCATATTTCCAGTAAAATGTGATGTGGTATATATTCTAGTGTCTATGAATGTTATGATGATGTTAACTTTCAACATCTGTTTCCTGGCTGAAATTAGTTAATGTAGTACCTAATGGTTCCACTTATTTAGAGTGCACTAAAATAAAGGTCAGAAAAACAGACTTGCTTTTACCTTAAATGCTCTGACTGACTTGAAGTCTGATAGGTGCATGTTTATATCAACAAACAGATGTGTAAGATGGATAAGCTAAAGTGTCATGGTAAAGTAGCATACAACTAGCATTAAGCTAAATAACATACGGCTAATGGTACCCAACTTTGGGGCCTGATCATGCCACATGCAAAAACAGACTGTTTATTGTTCTGCCTATGTTAGCAAGTAACATCATACATACGGTTTGTGTAAACATTAGGGTGGGTTGCACGAGCCGTTCATAAGTTCTTAAACTGGAACATAAAGTCAACACGAGAGACTTAGCAACTACTTGGACGGTGTAAGCTCTGTACTTAATTTAGTTGCACCATTTGTTCTTTAGGCAGATTGTAGCTCGTAGGCTCTGTAAAGTAATGCATAGTCACATTATATGACGTTTACTTTCAGTGATCCAACAGCAGCCTTCAAATTTTAAGCAGATGTCCTCTGAATTTCAGTTTCTCCTGGTAAGGTTAATTTTGCCCTCTGTAACTTCTGGTTTCCACTGAAATATGTTACTTAATCATGAAATAATGACACAAATGTTGTAACTTAGTGTCCCTTTATGTTGCAACTTTGCAACACAGCTGATGCAACCGGCCCATACAGAAAACAAATTCGCCCACTATTATGCTTTGACTATGTTAGCTGGCTTCTAAGTAGTCCAGGCTGGTTATTAGCTGGTCTTAGCCACCTGTTACAGAGAAATACTGCTTTAGGTAGCTGGTTTGTTGGTGGCCCAAAATTGCGTTGTTATAGCCTTTTATGAAACACCATAAAATGGAGCAAATTGCTCATTGTTTGGAAAAGACATCTGTTGGGCTTGATGCTCTGATAGGCACACAAACAACACTTTCTATTCAGTAAATCTACTGTATACCGAATATACCGATAATCATTGTATAATTTGGGTATGACAAATAAAACGGAGATTAAACATGTTAGAGAGAGGAAACAAAAGTCCGATACGGATAAAAAGGAAGTGCTTACACTACAACACGGGCACACTGAATGCCCCAGGAACATGGCTGATAGTCAGGCTTCACGTAAGTCTCCACTCCATCTTCCACCACACAGCTCACAGTCTTGGTCACCACATACGCACACCAGTTTCTGTAAAAAGAAATGCACATGTAGTTAGCATACTTGTAGAATTGGCTGGACTAACTGAATGTAGCATAGCATAGTGGATTTTATAACAAAAGACTGTAAACCGATCTGCCATGTCCAGCGTTACTAGAATTATTTTTCAAATGTACAACTTGTGCTATATCATGCCTTGTCTATTACAATACACAATGGCTTTCATGCTGCTGACTACAGTTAGAGTGAGTTGGATGCATCACTTATCTAATCTTATGTTTAGCCCCAGTTTTGTTTTAGTCTACTAGTAAGAGCAACAAACGACATGATTGTCTGCTGTGTGTAACGCAGATGCGATTTGTCTTCTGCAGTTGTTCGCTCATGAATTAAGCTTAAGTTACACCTCGGACCATTGCAATAAAGATTGCCATCAGCGCACATTTGACTCATGCTGTGTCTCTTCAGAATAAACCCACATAGTTTCTTCTCAGAGGCCACCTAAACACGTGATTTCCAATGCATCTGAATCATGCTAAACCAGACAACCACGTGTGCAGCTGCTAAAAAGACAATGAATATCATTGATTCTCATTAGGAATAAACTCAGAATGGATTGTACCAAATGTGGCCCCATGCAAAAGTTTTGATTTCTCTATAAGACAGCTTATCAGAAATGACGATCAAACAGTGTTGAGATGACATCAACCATTTTAATAGACAGTATTACCCTCCATTAACTGTGTTTTTTCCTACTGCTTTTGGTCCATATCAGCCATGACTGCAACAAGTAAGAAAGAAAGCAACGGGACAATTTTTTCCATCTTTTCTTTTCTACTTTAGAGGAGCTGCCCACAGTGAAATCTCATTAGTTAAAAATCCCACCTCTCATGACTGCAAGGCAAGATTATATAGCACATTTCATATATAATATACATTATTATAAGTAATAATAAACAATATTAAAATGAATAATAATATGAATATATGTATACATTTTGTTTATATATATATATATATATATATATATATAAATAATAATGCATTAAAATATGTTCAACATGAAGTCTTATCTTAAATTCAAGAGAAATATTAAAACTAAAGGGTTCTCATTCACTGATAACAGCTGTACATATTGATATTTTCCAGAGCATTACAATGACTTCCCATTTGGTCTATATGGATAGTATCGTAATTTTATTTATTTATTTGCAATTTGACAGTTGACTCTAAAAGGTCACTGCCAAAGAAGTAACCAACAGATGACCCATTCCTTTTGCAAATGCATTACGTAATAGAAGTTAGTCAACAAATGGCTTTTCATGGAAAAACCACTTAATTCCCCCAAGACATCTTCCATGAGGATGCTCTCGAGACCATTACCACCTGACTCCTGCTTTGATTGCTCACGATTCATCGGTGACCTACAGTGGATTTCCTGTCTCCACAGCTGCTTGGGATGCTCACACGTATTATCAGCACAATTTCATGTTTTGGCCTTCGATATTAAGCACAGATGGTGCTAGATCAGAGTAATGACACCATGACATAATCTGTGCTGGCTAAACGAAAGTATGTTTATAATGAATTACAAAAAAAAAATGCAGTGTTTTGACCAACAAGTACAAACCAGAATCACCTTTCAAAGAACTGAAAGAGAGTTTTGTAGCTTTTAGTCCATATCTGTTAGCTTTGAATTCATCTATATGCTAGTGTGCTTCTAAACATTGACAAAATTAATTTTTAGTGAATATACGCAGAAAAAACATCATAAATATTCATCGCTTATGTTAAACTACACAGATGTTTGTCCAATCAAAAGCTTTGTAAAACGAGAAAGTCTCTCGTTTTACAAAGAAATGACTAGGAAGTAGCCTAAAAGCCTATTGGCTATTTTTAATAAAATGGGACAATCCTTTAAAAGGGGTCATATGATGCTATTTTAAAGATCATTATTTTGTGTATTTGGTGTAACAGAATGTTGACATGCTTTAATGTTAAAAAAACACATTATTTTTCAAATACTGTACATTATTGTAGGTCCTCTATGCCCCGCCTCTCCTACAAAGCCCCCTCCTTTGACAAGCGCAGTCTGCTCTGATTGGCCAGCTGACCCAGTGCATTGTGATTGGCCGAACACCACAAGCACGCGTCGGAAATGTAACGCCCCTTACCATAATCGCTTCAGCTTTCAAAGTAAATATCAAGACAGTTAATAATGTCCTTAGTTTTACCATCAGTTCAAGCCCGAAAGGGGAACAGAGTCGCGTGACAGACACAGTGATGATGCAGTACACAAGCCGTGGTTAAGACAGCTGACGTGCTATGATTTCTGACCGGCTGTTCACTTTCCTGTGATGTGACCCTGTTCCCCTCACACACACACACAACGCGTTACTCTGCGCTGTGCAAAACTCCGCATTTGAACAGTCAATAGCAAATACTTAAACTAGTAACAAAACATACTTACAGTCGCTGATTCAGAAGCGCCAGATTTATTATTATAATCATAAGGACCATGTAAGGTTTTAAATAAATTCACATCACATGATCACAAAAGGCAAAATCACACCCTTAAATCGACAATAATTCATAAGTTTACACTGTTTTCTGTTACATTTTTTGAGGAATGCTGAAGCTCAAACATTATTGCATGCCGCTAGTTTGTAACACTCCAAAGAGAAAGGAAAACTTGAAATCGCATCATATGACCCCTTTAATATTTTCGAGGCAACATTATTGTTTCAACAGGTAATGCATTAAAATGCTTTCCAATTGATTTTCCATTGTCATTTATATCTCCATTACTACTAATAACTTCCACAGCTGTGTCCAGTCAAATCTGCTTCCATCCATAATCGTAACACAACAAGGTTTTGATTTCAGTGACCTGTATCTCATTTATGGTGTTAAGTGGTGGGCAATCCATTACTCAATACGTAGCCCACATAACAATACCACATGTAATGCTAGCTGTTCATGCGAGGAGCTTTCTAGGTTTAAAGATTTTGCAAAGTTGTCAGGCTGCTTCAGCCCACCACTATTTGTTTTTCAACTGTTGATTGGAGTGAACCAGACCATAGTAAATCCAGGCCGCTACAGCCAGCCATGAATGATCCACATTCTTAGCGGATTTGTCATGCAGAATCATTTTGGGCTCGTTTTCATCGAACACTCATGCAGCTCATGACTTTACTAAGACTCTCAGCATGTTTCAGCTCCAAAAAGAATGGAAAATATGAGAGAAGACAGGAAAAGCGGACACAATAAAGTGCATTTGGCAGCTTTACACATATCCCGGTGTGTGTGCAGCCTCCATTTGAACCAATGAGAGCTGATTCCAATATACAAAAAGTGATATTAATCCCTGCGATGCAAAATGTTTTCATATTTTTCCATTACATCATTTCTGTTTTCCAAAAATAAATGACTTTATAGTCATAAGTGACTGCAATAAATGGGTTTGCTAAGAGTGAAGTAAAAATTTAGTCATGTAGAAACGTCATGGCTTTAAAAAAATCATCTGCATAATCGCCTGAGATTAAAAACATGACAAAATAAATGAAATATGCTAAAACAGAAGCACGTCTCAGAGTAAGAAAGTCATTTTACCCTGGTGTTATGATTATGTCACCTGCTTGGATCTAAAAACTCATTGCAGCAGTGAAAGACTCAAAAGAGTTGAAATATAAGACTTCAGAATTTTCGAAGAGCATAAGGCTAAATAATAAACCCACTCTGCCGTTTAAAGCATCTTGAAACATTTTCTGAGATGTTAGCATGTGTTTAAGTTGCAGATGATGATAAACAAATGTTAGAATTGATTATCTGCTGTTTAATTCAAATTAGTTACTTTCTCTTTGTGTGATGTTTGCTTAAAAATCATAAGGACCATGTAAGGTTTTAAATAAATTCACATCACATGATTACAAAAGGCAAAATCACACCCTTAAATCGACAATAATTCATAAGTTTACACTGTTTTCTGTTACATTTTTTGAGGAATGCTGAAGCTCAAACATTATTGCATGCCGCTAGCAACATCAAGGTCATGGGTTCAATTCACAGGAATACATGAACTGGTGAAATGTATACCTTGATCACAATGTAAGTCAATTTGAATAAAACTGTCTCCCGAATGCATGAAAGTCAATGTAAAAGACCTTACAAATATCACTCTCTTCTTGCAGAGCCGTTCAAGGGTGTATAAATTACATTTGGAAGTCACTATCTCGCTGTTTCTGTCCCTGCATCTCTGACACACACACACACACACACACACACACACACACACACACACTATTCTCTAATTATCTGTCAGAAATGTGACCTAATCCAATGTAGAGTATGTGGTGTAAAGATACAGTCATCTCTTTGTTCCTCAGCACTGCTGAAAACACTCTTTTCCGAACATTCCCTCAATAAAAGCTGTAATTGCTTCTCCCAGGACAGAAATTACATTTGAAGAATGTAGCATTTTGAAGAAACATTCAATCAAAAAATATCAGCCTTCCTACACTCACAATCGTTAAACCTCCCAAGTGATTCACAATATGGACATAAAAATTTGTCCAATTGCACATTTGCCATGTTTAACCATGTCCGATGGCACTCATGTGTTGATTAATGTGTCTGAAATGATTGAGTAAATAAATATACACATGTGTAACAGGCTGCAGAATCTTATGATATCACTTCCTGGACCTTCTACAGTAAACCTAAAACAACAGAGCAGAATGGACAGCAGAAATAGTGTATTATCTAGGGAGCCATTTAATGAGGACAAAACTAATTTAACTCATTTAAAATGAATTGAACTATACCAAAACCTAGCTACAGTATCCCCATTCCTTTAGCATATGGCTCTTACATTATGCACACTGATGGATATCTTGTTCATGTCTTTGTCATTGAAGTTTGTTCATAAATAAAAGTATTAATTTTGTAAAACTGTCACTTTATGCCTGTGATAAACTGAGATCTGCATTTATTTGATCAAAAATACAGTAAAAACAGTAATATTGTGAAATATT